CTAGAAACTCACAGATAATTAGTAATGAATATCCAATAGTTCTATTGTGTAATGTAATGCAATTATAACAACATTACAACTTCCGCTTATTAGTAGCTAAGTAAAGGCATGCATAAAGGTCAAACTGACTTAAATCGGTGGACATTTAAGTAGTATGTAAATGGTAGTCCATGCAGTTCTGTGTATTGATTGAACAGAATACAAAATGTTAGAAGTATTTCGTTGAAAAAATATTAATTCTATGATATAAACTATTGAATCTCTTTGAAGTTGATAATTTGTTCATAGGACCAATGTACCTCAAATGATTTAAAGTCGGATGAAGAAATCCGCAACACTGTAAGTTATAAATGCCTCTTGCATCTTAATATCATAGCTGAAACCATAATATGTAATCTTAATCTTCCACACTAATTACCAACCATGTTTTGAACCTAATATATAGTGGATGATTCTCAACATCATTTCATAATCGTTCAAAGCTTGTCTATAAATTATAGTTGTACCCAAAATTATGTACGAAAAGTTTTTAAACATTGATTGACTTACTTACGTCTGTTCATCCTCATGGAAGAGCATAGGCCAACTACCAGCATTCTCCATCCAATTCTATCCTTGAAAATCCTTTCCAATTGTTATTCATCCTTTTCATATCTGCTTCCATTTCCCAACAAAGTGTGTTCTTTAGCCTTCCACTTCTACGTTTCACTTCAAGATTCTAAGTTAGCGCTTGCCTTGTGATGCAGTTTGATGATTTCCTCAATATGTGTCTCATCTACTTCCAACGTCTTTTCCTAATTTCTTCTTCAACTACAAGTTGATTTGTCCTCTACTGCAGAGGAGTCCCACAATAGGACGAAACGGCCATCCAATACTTCCAGGTTTTCCATGGTGGTCTAGCTTCCATTGACTCATGATCTCAACTGTTGAAATTACTACAATCTCCACAAAACACTTTCTCTGATTATAATAATCACATGCTCACTGGTGACTGACCTCAAGAGGTATATCCTGGAGTTCTAGTGAGAAGTAGTGACCAGTGGATTTCAACCAGGTCTATTGTGAGTTAGTAACTCATTGATGACAATGGTGGATGTGTTACTTAATTTCGTGGATTAGTTGAAGTTAGATATTAACACCGTTGGATGCCGGCTCAGTGGTCTAGTTGGTTTAGCGCCTGGCGCGAAACCAGTAGGTCCTGGGTTCGAATCTCGCAGAGGGCGGGATCGTGGATGCGCGCCGCCGAGGGGTCCTATACTAGGAAGAAACGGCCGTCCAGTGATTCCAGGTGGTCTAGCTTCAATTGACTCATGATTTCAATCAGTGAAATTTCTATAATCTCCACAAAACCCCTTCTGATATAAGAGATTCATCATAAACGATATATACCAACTAGCTTAATGGATTTTACTCGAATTTCACATTCATTAGTTTCATGAATAAGTTATTAAATTGTTCCTAAAAATACCTATGTACATTAAGCAGCTGATATACATAATTATCTTTAAAAGAAAGTACTTATTACAATATTTGCATAGTTGGAAAATAGATAACCTGGAAGGAGGTTTGTACAGGTCATCAGTCTATGCATTCCTTAATATATTTTTATGACCCTAGATCTAATTCCAATTAGATCGTATAAATGATTTTTTATTGAATAATTACTGTCGAAATATATATACATCCTAACTATTCTTGTATAAAATTATCGACTTCATCCGTATTAGTGAATAACGAAATGAATTAAGCCGAATAACGAGAGCGGATTTACGAATGCGTATATTTTGTACAGTCATTGATCTGGATAGATAATCTCAGAAGGACTAATCGAAGAGAAAAGAGTGAAACCAAGTGACGTCCAGTAGAGAAGGTGTGTAAGCCAACTCCATTTTAATCAAGCGGTTAATCAATATTTATAGTTAGATGAAAACAAGTTACAGACATGTGTGATGAATATAGGATAAGCAATGCACACACACATACACTCATATGAAAACAATCAAGGTTGATAAGCGGAATACCTAACAAGGTCATAATGTGATTTAAGAAGAATGAATAAATTGGCTTGTCAGGAAGCCAAAATAAGCCATGTGGGCTTAATATAGTAATTGACACTACAATATCATAACTGTTATTTCTCAAAAGATAAATGAATATGTTGAAGATGCCAATGTAAGTTATGAATTACATTAATGATTATTCACTCCTCCTCATAAGATAACTTTTAAATAAAATCAATGGTTGAAAATCTATTTATAGTGGTTAATAGCATTTACTGAATAACATTCAGATGTCCTGTGACTTCGTGAAACCCCCTTTGAGAACTAATTCTGCTTACTAGATTATTCATTCAAAAAAAACTAGTGATAAGATAACAAATAATGGGTTCGAACCCCGCGAGCGGGATCGTAGATGCGCACTGTTGAGAAGAGTCCCATGACAGGACGAAAAGTCCATCCAGTGCTTCCAGATTTTCTATGGTGGTCTAATATCAATCAATTCATGATCTCACTTAAAGAACTTAACAATCTCTACAACCCTATACTGATAATATTTAATGAATTTATCTTTACGAACTATTCAAACAAAATCATCAGACTGAAATAAATCTATCACTCAATTCTCCTGGTTCTCCTGTGAAGCTGGATTGACGAATGTACTGCTCGGGTTATAAAGTTTAAGCATGGTCGGTGTCTGGTTCTCCTGTTAAATGGGATTGAGCTGTACTGTTTAGATAGTCACGTGAAAGTCTGGATGGTGTCTGGTTCTCCTGAAAACCAATGTAGAATTACCCTGGCTCACAAGAGTATGTTATATAATTAACAAAATAACTCTCAGCTTTCTCTTTCTCACACACATACACATACACAAACTATAGGATCTTGTAAATGCAAAACAAGGAAAAGAAAAATACCAACTAATGAATGAATAAATCAATAATATCCTAATTTTAGCCATTATAAATAAATGGCAAATGTATATTGAGGAATAGATTTAACTACTCGTGCCAAAAATGAACATTAGCTTATGATTGGCCAAATGTCAAGGTTACGTTTCTATATACAATTGTAAACAAAAAATTAGATGGATATATGTATATAATTCCCTTTCAATTTATTGTAAACAATTTAAGATTTTTATCATTATGTTTTGTTTATATAGATGAATCCTGTAAATATTTATCATTGCATAAGCAAGTGGCTATCAGGACTCAGTAGCTGAGTGGATAACGCAATGGCGTTTGAGCGAATGGTATTGCGTTCGAGTCCCAGAGTGAACATCAACTCTGAGATGCAGGTACATCCAGGTGACAAGTCCCAAACAGGACAGAACGCGTGTCCTGGATTCCACTGTTAGCCACTATCCATCATCGCTTACAAAAAGCTTGTGAATTAAGGCAATATCGAGGCATACGCACAGTATGCACATATGCCGATAACAGACTGATCAATTGCAGTCTTAAACCTCAATGGAAAGATACAAGCCAAACAATGCGGGGTCGTGAATGCACACTGCTCAGCAGTCCCACTATAGGACGAAACGGCCATTTAGTACTTCCAGGTTTTCCATAGTGGTCCAGCTTCAATTGAATCATGATCTCAACTATTTAAAATTACTATAATATCCACAAAACCCCTTTTGATAGTGTTAGTTTACTATTAGACAAATGACTTGATACTATATGTTTTAGAGATAGCTGAGGGAACATTATACTCGATTCGTTGACTGTTGGTAGGATGTCATCAGGTGGATGATGTAGATGAAGTTTCGTTCTCTGAGCTGGATGGTTTGGTCGTGGGGCTTTGATTGTTCGTCTGAATAACATCATCACAAACTTCAAGTAGAAATGAAGTGTTTGTAGTTCTCCACATATGACTCTCAGTCTATCCTGTCGACATCAATCTTGATTGGTTACTTGTCGTTGTCTACTTCTTTATTTTGATTATATCTCCCATTGATTAAAAGTCAATAATAGCCAATCAAAATCGAGGTCTAAAGGATAAGCTGTGAGTCATATGTGGAGAACTTCGAACGCTTCACTTCTCTTTGAAGTTTGTGATGATGATGATGTTATTCAGACGAATAATGAAAGCTCCCCGACCGAATCATCCAACTCAGACAACAAAACTCCACCTGAATTAACGGCTAAATGATAAGCAATATAATTCAGACAAAGTTAAATAAATATTTATGCAAATTATTGTGTTTTGCTTATATGACCATAACAATAAATCGAAAAACTCGATCTTCTATTCCTCACGTGATTTATAGCCCTATATAAATGCACCAATCAGAACACTCGAGAGCCAATTGACTGATTATAAACTTCATGTTGCCGAGTTATCTAAGTGTATTGTAGCCAGTAATCACGATTATATTTTCGTTTAATTAGTCATGGAATTTTAGATATTTTGTAACAGTTTCTGTTATATAATTAAGTGGGGTTATGATTCTTGGTATGTTTTAAATTTTCTTCCATCATAACTGACTAACTACGCTTCCGTTAAATGATAGAATGGTATTCCTGTCGTAGAAAACTTGATATTTTTGATGTAGTCCATCAAAATTGACAGATAACAAAACATGCCCTTCGTCATGGACTAAAATAGTGTAAATAATAATTCTTTGTTCATTTTGTTTGGTTGATGGGTGCGAGGCGAGAATTGTGATCAAGACCACGATATGTCATAGACCATAAATTTGAATGCATATGTGTAAGCAAAACTCCGCTTGTAGCTCTAATAGGGTTACTGCCGGTCCCAAGCCCGGGTAAAGGAGGAGGGTTGGGCATGGGGTTAGCGTCCCCATCCCGTAGAAAACTAACTCGCTAAAAAAACGCTTACCAGAAAAAATAATCCAAACCATTTAAACTCTGCCCTGGGAGTTAGAAGGTCTTCAGTTAGAAGAATTATGACGCTTCATGGTGAAAGCCGAGTTCCTTCGGAAGCCACGAGGCCGATGCCCCTTCTAACAACCAGAGCAAAAATTTTTATAGGTACATGGAACGTTCGAACAATGTGGGAAACCGGGAAGACCAGTCAAATAGCAATGGAAATGAGGAGATACAACTTAGCAGTACTGGGAATCAGCGAAACCCACTGGACCCAAGCTGGACAGAAAAGGCTAGCTACGGGAGAGATGCTGCTATACTCCGGTCACGAGGAGGACAATGCTCCACACACTCAGGGAGTCGCTCTTATGCTGTCCAAAGTAGCACGAAATGCACTTGTAGGATGGGAGTCTCACGGATCCAGAATCATCAAAGCATCATTCAAAACAAAGAAGGAGGGGATCTTAATGAATATTATCCAATGTTATGCACCCACCAATGATAGCAACGACGACATTAAAGATCAGTTCTACGAGCGGCTGCAGTCAATCATTGAGAAATGCCAAGAAAGGACCTAACTATTCTGATGGGAGATCTAAATGCCAAAGTCGGAATAGACAACACTGGATATGAAGATATTATGGGACGACATGGACTGGGAGAAAGAAACGAAAATGGAGAAAGATTTGCAAATCTATGTGCATTCAACAAATTGGTCATAGGAGGCACAATATTTCCACACAAGCGTATACACAAGGCTACATGGATCTCACCGGACCACACTACAGAGAACCAAATAGATCATATTTGCATCAACAAAAAATTCCGAAGGACAATGGAAGATGTGAGAACCAGGAGAGGTGCTGACGTAGCTTCAGATCACCACCTAGTTGTAGCCAATTTAAAACTGAAGCTTAAAAAGAACTGGACAAGTGGACAAACAGCACTACAAAGGTTCAATACAGCCTTCCTTCGAGATACTGACAAACTCAATGAATTCAAGATAGCTCTCAACAACAGGTTCCAAGCCTTACAAGATCTACTGAAGAAGAAGAAACTAGTATGGAGGACAACTGGAAAGGCATCAAGGAAGCATTAACTTCAACGTGTCAAGAGGTTCTGGGCCTAAAGAAACACCATCATAAGGAATGGATCTCTATAGAAACACTGGACAAGATCAAAGAAAGGAAGAACAAGAAGGCAGCAATTAACAACAGCCGAACACGAGCAGAGAAAGTCCAAGCACAAGCTGAATACATAGAAGCAAACAAACAAGTGAAGAGGAGCATTAGAGCCGACAAGAAGAAATACGTGGAAGAACTAGCAACGACGGCAGAAAAAGCTGCTAGAGAAGGAAATATGAAACAGCTTCACGATACAACGAAGAAACTAGCAGGGAAATACAGTAAACCAGAGAGGCCGGTCAAAGACAAAGAAGGCAAGCCAATCACCGAAATTCAACAACAGCGTAACAGATGGGTGGAATACTTCGAGGAACTCCTGAATAGGCCGGCTCCAATGAATCCACCGGACATCGAAGCAGCACACATAGATCTTCCTATAGATGTCAACCCACCAACGACGGAAGAAATTAGAATGGCCGTCAGACAAATCAAGAACGGGAAAGCAGCAGGACCCGACAACATACCAGCTGAAGCACTGAAATCAGACATCGAAGCAACCACAAGCATGCTTACCTTCTATTCAAAAAGATTTGGGAGGAGGAACAAGTGCCGATGGACTGGAAAGAAGGACACCTCGTCAAGATTCCAAAGAAAGGAGATCTGAGCAAATGTGAAAACTACAGAGGCATTACACTACTGTCAATACCAGGGAAAGTCTTCAACAGAGTGTTGCTGAACCGGATGAAGGATGCAGTAGACGCCCAACTTCGAGATCAACAAGCTGGATTCCGTAAGGATCGGTCGTGCACAGACCAAATTGCAACACTACGGATCATCGTCGAACAATCAGTTGAGTGGAACTCATCACTATACATCAACTTCATTGATTATGAAAAGGCATTCGACAGTGTAGATAGGAGGACATTATGGAAACTTCTTCGACACTACGGAGTTCCTGAGAAGATTGTCAACATTATCCGGAACTCATACGACGGACTACAGTGCAAAGTAGTGCATGGAGGACAGCTGACAGATGCATTCCAAGTAAGGACTGGAGTCAGACAAGGCTGTTTACTCTCTCCCTTCCTCTTTCTTCTGGTGGTCGACTGGATTATGAAGACCTCGACATCTGAAGGAAAACACGGAATACAATGGACAACTCAGAATCAATTAGACGATTTGGACTTCGCAGACGACCTAGCCCTCCTATCACGTACACACGAACAGATGCAGATGAAGACAGCCAGTGTAGCAGCAGTCTCTGCATCAGTAGGCCTCAGCATACACAAAGGGAAAACCAAGGTCCTCAAATTCAAGCGGAGAACAGCAATCCAATCACTCTTGATGGCGAAACTCTGGAAGATGTAGAGTCCTTCACATACCTAGGAAGCATCATCGATGAACAAGGAGGTTCAGATGCAGACGTAAAGGCGAGGATCGGCAAAGCAAGGGTCGCATTCCTACAATTGAAGAACATATGGAACTCAAAACAACTTTCAACCAATATCAAAGTGAGAATCTTCAATACGAACGTCAAGGCAGTTCTACTGTATGGAGCTGAAACTTGGAGAACTACAACAACCACATCAAGAAAGTACAAGTATTTATAAATAGCTGCCTACGCAAGATACTCAACATCCACTGGCCGGATACCATCAGCAATAGCCTTCTGTGGGAGAGAACAAACCAACTTCCAGCTGAAGAAGAAATTAGGAAAAGACGATGGAAATGGATAGGACATACATTACGCAAATCGTCAAACTGCATCACGAGGCAAGCCCTAACTTGGAACCCTGAAGGGAAGCGAAAAAGAGGAAGGCCAAAGAACACATTGCGTCGGATTATAGAAGCAGATATGAAAAGGATGAATTACAACTGGACGGAGCTAGAAAGGATTGCCCAGGACAGGGTTGGATGGAGAATGCTGGTGAGTGGCCTATGCTCCTTCACGAGGAGTAACAGGCGTAAGTAAGTAAGTAAGTAATGTGTAAGCAAAGTTGAATGATGGACACCAGTGAAATTCAGGACGCACGTTTCGTCTTATTCAGAAGAAGTCAGCTAATGTATACTTGTGTTAGGGTGACCCAGAATATTCCTCAAAAATGTCCAGAGGGGCCCTGAAAACACTGGGAAACATTTTATCTGATCAGCATTTAATAGAAGTTTCTCAGAAACATCTAGGAAATGTAAAGCTATCTGTCACATTTCTGACTGAATGATTACCTGTCCAGCCACTATGTTTAATAGGGCTCTAGAAGCCCAAGGCCATCCGAAAGGCTACAGATACCCTCGATTTTGTGTACATAAACTAACCTTGGAGTAAGGCGTTATTCCCATATTTCGCGTCTTTTCCCTCGTGTTCAAGTTGTCGTGTAGAGTTAGCCTGGATTTATTAGAAGTTCTTAGGAAACCAATTTGAGCGTCCACTCAAAAGATTTATCAAATTGTGTCCCACTGTGATTATAACACAAACATCCTCATCCTGAGCTAAAAATATTCTCCATCATTTCACTAAATACTGTGTGCGAAGTTCATTTTTCCCGTAATCAGCTACAATAAAATACTTTTATCTTTGGGAAAAGTGATACAAAAAGACCTATGCCACTTCATTTATAGAAAATTAGATAAAATGGCTAGTAAATCTAGAATATTTTACTCTACATAATGGATTGATCTTAATTTCAATAGTTGAGATCATGAGTCAATTGAAGCTAAGCTACTATGGAAAACCTGGAAGTACTGGACGGCCGTTTCGACCTAGTATAGGACTCCTCAGCAGTGCATATCCACGATCCTGCCTCACGAGGTTCGAACCCAGAACCTATCGGTCTCTCACGCGAGCGCTTGACCACTAGACTACTGAGCCGGCATCGAACACTGTTATTGTCTAACTTCAACTAATCTTAGTTGGATAACCACTGAGAACCAAAAAGTAATGAACAAATATTTCATCCTGGTACAGAACTCTTCAGTAGTTTTCATCCACATCTCTACTAAATAAACTGGTGATAAAAAAATGTTCAATCATCCCCACAAACCTATTACACTAAGATGTAAAATTCTATTTCACACCAATACTGCAAGATTGACAGAAATTATTTTAATGCACATTTAGCCGGTTTGTTTTGATTCATAGTTCAGTTTTCAAATAAACTATCAATTAATCGACTCACAACTGATTAATCAATTATATATGATGGGAAATCATTCTAGTCGTAACATCAGAAATGTGGACATTGCAGTCAAATTTATTTCTAACAATCTTTCGTCAGGAAAAGTCACATTTAGATATATTGTCAGCATAGGGTTGTGGACATTGTTGAGTTCTAATTGAAATCATGAACCGATCAATGTTAGACCATTGAAAAACTGGAGGCATTGCACGGCTATTTCGTCTTATTATGGGAACTTCCAACAGTGCACATCGATGACACCACACGCGGGATTCGAACCCAGGATGTGAGGCAGTTACTCATCGAAGATAATAGAAGATGGTTGCACAATGTCGTGGACTGGTTGAATTTAGACATTAACACCATTTCATACCAGCTTCTTGTTCTAGAGATTAAGCGTTCACGCGCAGGACTGAAGGTCTTGTGTTCGAGTCCTGTGTGAGATCATGGATGTGTACTGTTTGGGAGTCTCGTAATAGGACGAAATGGCCGTCCATGACTTCCAAGTTTTGAATAGTGGTCTAACATTGTTCGATTCATAATCTTAATTAACTGTATTGGTAATTTATTGTTTTCACAGATTGAAAACATGAGTCAATCGAAGATAGACCACCATGGAAAATCTGGAAGCACTGGACGGCCGTTTCGGCCTAGTATGGGACTCATCAGCAGTGCATATCCACAATCCCGCACTCCGCGAGATTCGAACCCAAAACCTATCAGTTTCGCGCCAGACGCTTAAACAACTAGACCACTGAGCCGGCAGGCCCCCAACAGTATTAATGTCTAACTTCAACCAATCCACGAAGTTGCGCCACCGTACACCATTGTCTTCAGTGAGCTGATATCTCAAAACAGACCTGGTTGATTGTATTTTTATTCACAGTACTACATATTAAGATGTATTTGAGACATTTATGTATGTTTTCCTATCTTTATATCTTAATTGGGATAAATATTGATCAAATATATATGAATAAGGAGGCTTTTATATGCGATATAGATATGATAAGAAAGACAACACGTGCTGCATATATATCACTGATTATAATAATCATTTTAACAAAAATAAAAAAAATCTTTTTTCCTTTTTTAGGGTTTCATTCAATTTTGTGTGATATCACTTCCCTGATTCGTTTCCTATTTGTTTTTTTTTCTACTGTTTCTATAACTCTTTTATGATACCAAACGGTTATCGTTATCAC